GAATTTCCTAGCCAGCTACTCTATGATGTGTGGACTTCAACTCCCAGAATTCCCAGAAATCACATCCGGACTTCAACTCCCAGAATTCCCAGAAATCACATCCGGACTTCAATTTCCACAATTCACACACGGAAGAAAGACTGCCGAAGCATTGTTAAGGAAGAGGCAAGCATGCTTAAAAGGCTGCATTTACCCATTTCCGTTTTAGTGGAGAAACCGGTGACTTGTTTGATGGCGGCGGCGGTTAACGCTAAACCCCGGGTCCTCTTTAAACCATGCTGAAGGACGGACTCGAACTGCGCACAGAGGCACGTAACTCTGGAAAACAGATTGAATGGGAAACGCTGTGCAAAATGGAAGGAAGCGGAGACCGAGAGCTAATTTGCAAAGGCAAGAGGGGTGAACCGGCGCCTGCCGATGCCAAGGTGGCGCAGGGGTTCAAGCTTAGGGTGGGAAAACATCCCACGGGAGGCACAATAAACTATCAAACGGGCATCGTGGGCAGGATTAAGAGAATCCTCCTTCCATGGTTTTATGTTGGGAGAGAGGAGGGGGGAGAAGTACTTTTTCAATATGTCCTAAGGCAGGGGTATCAAACTCAATTTCATTGGGAGCCGCATCAGGGCTGTGGTGGACTTTGGGGGGCAGGGGGGCAACTTGGTGGGCATGGTCAGCATGACGCCTCTCCCCAAACTGCTGGCATGTTTCCTCTTTGCATTGGTGTTCTGACTTAGGTTTCCTTAAAAGCCTCTTTTATTTACACCACTGTGAATTCCTTTCATTCACAGTGCGCAAGGCTTAATAAACAGTCTTTCAGAGGAATGTTTATCAACACAAACCTTATCTCGCTTGGAGAGCTGCCAGATAACTAGTTTCCAAACGCAGGGCAAGGCAAAACTTGGCACAGAGTCTCTTATAATCGCAAACAGAACTTTCCACTCTCGAAACGACCGAAGGAACAAATTGTTTCCTGCAAAAGACCCCTCCCTATTCGCTCCTCTTTTGTTTCCTATAGGAGGGGCCAATCACCTCCAAGGTGTGGCTTTACTCCCAAGTCGACCCTCCTTTCTTACTTGTTCTTGTCTTCTGGCAGCTCTGCATATGTGCACACTGGGAACAGGCTCCAGCTGTTCCTCTGCCTCACTGCTGTCTAGCTCCCTCTCTGCCTCCAACACAGAGCCCTCGTCTGAGCTATCCTCAGCCCCTAGGTCTGGCCCCTCTTCCTCCCCAACCTCCTCACTGTCCGACTCTGCTGAAAGCTATGCTGGCTATAGGCCAAAGTTCTCAGAGATGAGAAACACCAGCCTAGGATGAGAAAGGAAAGTCCCTTCGCTCTTTTGCTCATTTTCAGGAAGGAAAACATTCAAACCACATATTCAGTGAAGATAATCAAGGGTAACTCCCGCTCCACAGCTACAATCCTCTCTTCCTGAGAAAAAGATTTGTATTAGTAGATTGAAGGGAATAGTAGTATGATTGATATTGTTATGCAACTAATGAAGAAATAAAGAAAGCTTAATATATTGTTAATTGCAAAAAAAAAAAAAAAAAAAAGTGAAAGAAATGCTCTCTACATCAAAACGTAACTAGAGGATATATATTGTTTATAGTAAAATAGACCAATAGAGAACTTTGAAACGATAATTTGGTGCAATTTTTGAGGGGGCAATTGAGCATATTAAAAAAAGGAAAATAATGGAAGGAAATACTTTGGCTGAAAGTGGAAACCAAGGTGTGATCTAAAATGGATCATATAAATGAGAGGACGTAACAGGGAAGATCCAGTCAACACTTTGTTTCTATAATATGCGTAAAACTGTATTAAAACAAAATAAAAATAAAAACTTTGGGGGGGAAAAACTTCCCTTCCTAATGCTGTGTATAGATTTCTTATCAAGGGCTTAAAAGTTTTCTAAACACTGAATATGCACGGCAAGGCATAAACCGCCTCGCCCCTGCAGCTTCATTTTATGATAGACCTGATGTGAAAGGAAACAGAAGAAGAAGAGAAACAAAACTTCAAAGCACAGTTGCTTTTCTGGAGAAACAGATGGGATGCAACCACACCATAACAACAGGAATCCCCTAAAAATTATTGGTAAGCGTTAGGTCCCTAACCCCCAAAACAGAGAAGAGAAACTGCAGGGTGTGAAAACTTCTTACATCAACTTCCTCAAAGCTCAGTGGAAATCGGGGGGCCCAGAGCCCCTGCCAGGGTGGATAAAAATCAATTTTTTAAAAAAATAAGCACCGCATTTTTCGGAGTATAAGACGCACCAAGATTTTGAAGAGGCAAATTTTTTAAAAAAAGGTTTTTACACTCTGCAGATCTCCCAAAAATGGCCCCTTTTTATTTTCAAAATAAGGGCATGAATAGCCTTTAGGAGGCTTGTAGAGTGCGGAGGAGGCAAAATTGAGCAAAAAAGGCTCATTTTTCGCTCATTTCTGCCCTCCCCAGCCCCCAGGAGCTCTTTGGAAGCCTCCTAAACGCTATGCATGGTCATTTTGGTGAAGGGGTGGGGCTTCAGGAGGCAAAAAATGCTGTATTCAGTGTATAAGATGCACCCAGATTTTCAGCTTCTTTTTTGAGGGGAAAAAGGTGCGTCTTATACTCCGAAAAATACAGTAAATGAAATCTGTTTGTTTTTTTTTTACATTTAATTTGGATTTTTTTTTTTATTTTGTATCAAAAATTTTAATAAACTGCTTTTGGAGTAAAAATCTACCTAATGATAGTTTTCTATTTAAGTTTACATTCATAATTTAGTTTATTCCGCATGAAATGGAGTTTAGTTAGGTAGCGTGAGGCTGTCTATTCTGCAATATTGGGACTGTCGTTGAGTCAACAGCGAGACAGAGGCGGATCCGCTGTGGGACAGAGAGGATAGTTGCTCTTTAAAAATAATGATTTCCGAATTGATTTAAATTAAGCCTTTTTATTAGTGATTTCAATCGTGATTTAAATCGACTTCATTTAAACCAAATCCACCCTGGCCCCCCATAAGAATTTGCAAGGAGGTGCAGAGATATAATCCCTTTTTTCTCTCTCTCTCTGCACACGTAAGATAAATTCCCTGCTGTATAATACCTTTCAAGGGATTCCCATAATAATCAGCTTAAATGGTTGGTGACTCTCCGAGGCTCCTTGCCAAGTTTTGCAGATATCGGCCTGGCAGCTCTCCAAGCCAGATAAGGTCTGTGACTGTAAATCCTCCCTTGAAAGACTTTGCTGGATATGAATGAGCAGAATTCACAGTCAATTAATAAAAGGGATTTTTGTCGGGACAAGGAGTCTGCTTCCTGCTCTCGGGAAGCCTCGGTCAGAACAAG